CATGGGGAATAGCGAAAGAGGACATCCATGTTTTTAGTTGATTTTTAAAGATACCCAACGAGGGAGACACGCGAATCTCAGGAGGTAGGTTGTTCCAGAGGCGAGGAGCCACCGCCGAGAAGGCCCGATTTCTTGTCTTTTCCTTCCGGGCCTCCCTCGGCGTTACGCTCCTCAGCCTCACCTCCTGGCTCGCACGAGTGACACGGGTAGATCTTGGTGGGAGTAGGCGTTCCGCCAAGTATTGAGGCCCTAAACTGTTTAGGGCTTTGTACATAAGCATCAACACTTTGAAGTCAATGCGGAAGCGGATGGGCAGCCAATGCAAAGCGGCCAGAGTGGGTGAAATATGCTGGAATTTTTTCACTCCACTAAGTAGTCTGGCCGCCACATTCTGCACCATCTGAGGTTTCCGCAGCAGCCTCAAAGGCAGCCCCACATTCCCTCCTTTACATTGCCACCAGTTGACCACTTCTGTCAACAATGTTCAATTAGAAAGATTGAGGTCCATGCCGAGTGTAAAGTTGAACAAAACAGGTTTATTGGTTAAAGTTTACATAAAAAGGTTCTTCAAAGGCTCTAAAGTATTCAGTAGCTCTGTAATAACTTGTTTCATACTTTACTCTCTATAAGTCTCTATAAGTTCCACACTCTTAACTTACTCTCTATAAGTCTCTATATGTTCCACACTCTTAACTGCCTCCCTTAAGTCTTAACTCTACCATACTCTCTAACTCCCACAGACTAACTCTTCACTTCAGACTCTCATCTCTGACTTAAACTACAGTGGACTCTCGACTTAACAGAATTAATCCGTATTGGAACTGTGGCTTCAGGTTGAAAAGTCTGTAGGTCGAGGCTCCATTGACCTACAGTGCATTGAAAACCGATTAATCTGTAACTGGCCGTTTTTGTTCCATTTTGGTTTTTTTTTTCCTGGTCTGTAGGTCGATTCTCCAGCTGCGAATCAAACCTAAATTTTGCAGCCAGAGAAGTCTGTAACTTGAAAAGTCTGTAAGTGGAGCCGTCTGTAAGTCGAGGGTCCACTGTAATTGACTGACAAAACTCCTCTGCCTCACCCCTCCCTTCTAATTTCTCTGGCTCCGCCTCCCAGTCGCTCCCATTGGTACATGCAAATATCCTCCTACATGAGCCAAAGCAGGGTGAGCGCCATAGGTACTTTTGGGTTCTTTCCTTTTGTTCTTTCCCTCATTTTTATTCCTGGCACTAGATCAAATAAAGCCTTACAGAATCCTCAGAATTATTTCAGAAAAGCAGGCTCAAGGCAACAGACAGCCATCAATTCCAAAAGCAGGCAGCAACAACAGTACGTAAATAAATATCAAGCATCATCAGATCTTTGCAGCAGCTAACATGACTTTCAAGTTCACATTTATCATTAAATCACCATCCTCAGCAGCAGCAGGAAGAAACAGTTCAGATGGGAAAGAGAAAACATAATCATGATCATTATTACCAGATCTTTGTAGAGAGTCACTACTTTTCAACATCTTTGTCATAATCAATTCATCATCATCACAAATGATCCTGGCACACTTGTTGCCAGTGCCCCCTGCCACTCACACCCAAAACAAGTTGTGCTCAGACCACATTAATCATCCTTTGATTTGTAAGAGAAGATGCTGACGAGCCTCAGAAATGAGTGAGGCAATTATACATGCATAGGTCAAATAAACATAATCTGAATAAGGAAATCTGAATGAAATCTCAAATCTTCAGGTTCTTGTCATTCATTAAACCAATTGATCTAGATTTCAGACACTTTTTTTCAGAAATGAACAAAATAATCCAAAAATGCAAGAAACAGCAACTTTCATGTCATTTTGTTTGTTTGTTACAACCTGAAAGTCCTGACTCTAATTAAACATTATTAGAAGTACCCAGCTTTGAAAACTACTCCTATACACTACGGCCAGTTTCTTTATGAAATGTCTATTTTTCCCTAGGGCAAACAAGGCTTTGTTATATCCAAGTTTTTAAAAATGTCTCTTATTACAAAATAGTTCACATTTTCATGTTTGGCATTAAACATGTCAGAAATACTGTGTTAGTATTAAATTAATAATCTATGCATTAGAAGAAAGGCAAACCATTAGATACAGCTAAAGAATATCATTTTTAGGTAAAAATAATGCTTTAGTGTTCTAATAGTATATTTTTAATTATTAAAATTATTTTTCAGAGAATAGATTCATAATAATCTATGCATTAGGAGAAAGGCAAACCATTAGATACAGCTAAAGAATATCATTTTTAGGTAAAAAATAAAGCTTTAGTGTTCTAATAGTATATTTTTAATTATTAAAATTATTTTTCAGAGAATAGATTCATCACTCAACTTGTCCTCTACTAGCCCAAAATTCATGATTGCAATGCCACTGCTTTATTTCCAAGCTACTTGTTTCAGGTGTAAATATATCCAAGATTGTTATTGAAATAAGGTGTTGTACAATATGTTTTAATTAAGACTCATAACACACTAAAGAAGTTCAATAAGACTATTATCTAGTTTTATTTTGCATATTATAAAATATATGGCGTGTCGTGATATTTCAAAGTATGTAGGCAAATGTGCAATTTCCCTCTGCATTTCTCCTGTTCCATTGAAAGCAGTGAGCAGGCTGGCTTCCAGCTAAATAGACGTAGAATTGGTGCCCCACTTCCTGTCCACAGGGACTTACTTTTTCCTGGTTCTATTTCTTAATCTTGAGTATACTACTGAAGAGCCTCTCAAGAGGAATAATTTCTCAGTCATCAAAGCTGCTGCTTGCTTCTGGAAAGAAAAGCCCATCTCTCCCTCCCCCCCAACACACACCTTTCACATTGTAAAGAAGCACACTAGAATGGTCTTGGAAATGAGTACCATATTTTTCCGTGTATAAGACTATACTTTTGTCTAAAATCTTTAGACTAAAAATTGAGGGTCATCTTATACACTGAAGTAAGCTGCAGTGAGAACAAAAACATGTGGAGGGAAAATCAGGGATCAAAGTGATTCTGCAGCACTTTTATCCCCTTTCTCCTACATTTGCTAAGCCCCACTTAGATTTCTTAATTTTGGATTAGAAAAGTGGGGGGGGGTCTTATACATGGGGGTGTTTTATACACTGAAAAATACGGTAAGTTTGTCCCAAGGCAGATGAATTCATCATGTGAATCCCCCAGTTAAAAAAATTAGGTTTGTTTCTGTGGGCGCTAAAGCTCTCCTAAAACAGTGCATAGCCTTCACCCCTCATATTACCCACCAGTTTTTTTTCCAAAATAAGCCAGAAGTTTGTTTGTTTGTTTGTTTGTTTGTTTATTTATTTATTTATTAAAACCAGATGTAACCTACCAATTAATTCTGGTTTCATTTTGAGAGGCTGGTACAGCCCCTGGATGGTCCTGGGGCTGGACACATGGTTTTCTTGGCCCCCAAATTCTGATTTAAAGCTTCTATATCCTGCAGCCTTTGTACAAATAGACTCCTAATAGAACACTATGCCAACCAGAGTGCCCTTGAATGAAGGTCTTATATGTATATTTTTAAAAAACAAAATCTAGAGAAGTTTAAATACTATTTTTGATTCTCTAGTGTTCTTGGTTTTAGAAGTGAGTAAGAACTATACCAATCAAAATACAACTGATTTCAACTTTATGTTAAAGCTCTTGCCCACCGGGACTTCCTTTTTCCTGGTTCAATTCATTCATCTTAATCCTGAGTGCACTACTGAAGAGCCTTTCAAAAGGAATTATTTTTTTCACAACAGCTTTTCAGATTCCAAAAGTTAAAAATGAGCCATACAGCTCAGTAAAAACAGTGTCTCTAAGCATGAAAATCTTCATCATCTCACTGAATTTATTTACCATTATAGTTTACCATTTGGGGAAAGTGTTAGTTAATTTTTCTTGTAATCAGAAAGTAGCATGCAATTAATTATGGAAATAGTATTCCATTTTTCAGAGTCTGTGAACAACTGACAACTGCATAAAGATCACATTAATACTTGTCCACTTTTCTTAGTTTTGTACACATGGTGAAATTGGGATTCTGAACCAGTACAATCAGTTGCTAGTTCTTTGGAATACAGATGGCATATTAAAATTTAAGAAAGCATCTTATTGTAATACTGCATTTCAAGTAAAGATGATAATGCATTCTGTCAAGTTTATAAAATTCAGTTGGAAACTGTGCAACACATAAGGCTTTTTAAAAACTGAATGTTTTTCTTAGACAGCAATTATTAATCTTTTCCCCTTCCCTGTAAAGAATTAATTGTGTTTCTTAGTTTAATCCATTTCCATGAAGACAAAAGACTGCAGCCAATATTGTGCTGGTATCTAGTCTCCAGTGTAACAGAATCTCTTCCTCTACTTCTCCCCCTTTCCTTGAAGCCATTCCACCTTTGGACAATTTCCCAGTCTTCGAGAACAGGCTTTTAGGTTGCTATAGAGGATGCCACAGAGTTAGTAATAACTCCTTTTCCATTTCCACTGATGGAGGCACCCCATTGAAATTTGGCCTCAAATCACTATTATGGATTGCTAAACTTTTTTAAAAAATGTAAGAGAAATGACTTCCTCTTACATTGTTATTCTGAAATCATGGGAGCTCTCTCTTCTTGAAGACTTGACTGAAGACTTCTTGGGCCCTGCTGAAAAACAGATATGTGAGGATTGCAGCCTAAAATTGTTTGGAAGTGAGCCTCCTTGAACCTTGATGGCATTTATGTCTGAACAGACACATAGAGATTGGACTGCCAAGAAACGAAAGTAGTAGTCACAGAGATTGCAACTAAATATTTATAAAATATGTGCAACTTTTCACTTTCAATAATTCCTTATTTTAGATTTTAGATAACATTGAAGATGTCCAAGAACTTATATTCACTAAAGAACCTAACTTGCTGAGAGCCCTAATTCCAGTTCAAACAATGCATCTTACCATTATTGTAGTTCATCTGAGAACAGAAGATGATATGAAAAGGTAAGAAAGCAATGTTTATGTGAATTTCAAGGGAAGAACACTGGAACTCGCTCTGAGACTGCTTGTCATCTGCTAGGGAATGAGAGCCACAAGGGAATGGGAACCACTAACAGAGCCTTGTGGAGCAGTGGCTAATCTGCTGTACTGCAACCAAAACTGTGCTCACAACCTGGGGTTCAATCCCAGGTAGCTGGCTCAAGGTTGACTCAGCCTTCTATCTGTCCAAGACTGGTAAAATGAGTACCCAGCTTGCTGGGGGGGGCAATGTGTAGCTTGCATAATTAACTTGTAAACCATCCAGAGAGTGCTTGAAGTGCTATGGGGTAGCATATAGGCATCACACTTTTTGCTTTGCTTTTACTAGTCTGTAAATAGTGCATCTGATCACAGTACTTTGCCTAGAGCCCGAAATCTTGTATCTGGCCAAACAACCACAATGAATATATGTATTTTTAAACAATAAACATATAAAAGGAATGGGCAATTGATGGTATGGGGGCATAGGTCAGTTCTATAACATTGAGAAAGGGGAATACGTAAACCTATCTGGTTGTAAAGGATGGAGAAGATGATTTTTCAGAGGCCCAGCTTCCAATATGGTTACAGTTTTAAAGCTAAACATTAGAGTTAGGAGTTGTGGAAGTGCTTTGCATTCTACATTAGCTGCTAGTGGCTAAATCTTGAACCTGTCTTCAAAGAAAGGTGTGTGTAGAAAGTATTACAGTTGTATAATCCACACAATCTAGACATGGATAATAGTGGCCAGGCTACAGGGTAGTGTTTAGCACCATGTAGACTAGTTGGATCTTTCTCCAGTGACAAAGCTGGATCTAGGATCATCTCCAAACTAAGAGTGCAACCACAGTCAGAACAGGCTGAATCCTAACCATTCCTCCTGGGAAAAGTACCACACACAAGAACATTGGGTCTTTACTCAGTTAAGTACCAGTTTATTGGCTATTATTCAGCTAATAAAGGATACTAGAGACAGGTTCAGGCACTGTGACCTTGAGTCAAATGTAGAGAAACAAAGTTGAAGTATAATCCCAATGAATTTGATTGGGTATGAACCTCATTAAACTTGGTGGCATTTATTTCTGAGTAGACATTTGGCTGAAATGAAGAAAATGAACAATGTTATTTGTGGCTTAATATCAACAGGGGAAGGGGAAATCAAGTATTGGCGTGAGGAGAGCAAAAAGTCTACATAAGAGTCTCTTTCCACCAAATAATGACAAAGGACACATTTAATCTTTATATTGGGAGAGTCTTCTAGGAGCTGACAGTAGGAGTGGCTACTGCATCTGTAGCTGAGTCATACATCCTCTACTTATACCTTGTGAAGAAAGAAAGTTATTCCAAAACATGTCAGCATGTGTATGTAGTCATCATATTTTATTTTACTCAGGAATGGACTGTTACACTGTTCTCTCCTCAGTAGAATTAAAGTGGGCTACAATTTGTTTTGTGCTTGTGTATACTGTAGAAGAATTGCTGGTTTGTCAGCGATAAATAAAAGAACACTTCATAAAATAAAATGGAAGTGTACAAGACAGCATGAAATGACAGTCATAATATTTTAAGTTCTTTGTAATAATGAAAATTGATATTTTTCAATGATGTCTTGTTTCAAATAGAAAGCTTGATGTGTCTCAAGTTGCGCTGCAATAAGCCCATTGAATCAAAGGGGACTGGGTGAGTCAATTCCTCCTTAAGTTCTATTGATTCAAATGGGCCTATTCCAGTTGTGATTTACTTTAGTGTAGTAAATCACAATTACAGTAGGCTCATTTGATTCAGTAGAGCTTATGAAGGAGTTGATTTACCAAATTTCAACTGATTCAGTGGGTCTACTGTACTGGGATTTACTAAAGGAAGCATTGATTTTTGGGCTTAGTATAATTTAACATTTCCTAGCAGGACGGCAATTTACTTATTAAGTTTCTGGTCTATATGTGTGGGTTTTGTTTGTTCATTTACATTGACAGAAAAATAGCAACAAAAACTAAAAATTCATCATATAGTTTGTGGTGTAATAAAGAAAAACCCACAAAATTTAATTGAGAAGTGGCTTTCTTTTGGTGTAATCATAAATAAAATACTGCCAAACAATTAGAATCTTACATTGTACTAGAAGCCCAGATAATTTTGCTATGGATTTACAAGGATTTCTGACCTCAATATAACCATCGTGAAAAATTATTTGCTAAATGTAAGGCTGCAATATTAGGTAAGGTTGGAGTTTTGCGATTTGTACTACAACTCTGAGAAACTCTGGCCAGCTCAGGTAGTGCTGAAAGTTTCTGGAAGTTGTAGTTCAAGAACATCTGGGAACTCACGGTTGGGAACCACTGCTCTAGGATAAAAGTAGAGAATACTGCAGTCTCTGAAGCTCTTCTTACGTTTATTTCCATACTGTATGCTTCTTCTCTATACAAATGCACTATGGTTCCAATACAGTATCAATTTCATAGCTGCTCGACTAGTGATTTCCTGTTTATTTGTGTGTTCATTCATTTCAAGGGCTGTTTCTGCTCTAGAGCACAGCAAGGCCAAAGTGCAAACTCTCTTGCAGGGGAAACTCTTTAGCATGACATTTCATGGGATTGGCCAGTTTAACAACCAAGTGATCTATGCTAAAATGTCAGAGGATGAATTGCAAATGCTAAGCAAAATTGCAGGTTAGTATTGAGACATTCACCATTTGTATCACATTACAGTTCAAGCAGACACTGAAATGGTATCTAGTTACAGAATACAATTCTGAATGCTATTTTAATATTTGTTAAAATGTGTATATATAAAATTTAATGTCCTGCCTTTCATATGCATCTGGGATTCAAAACTCATATTCTTTGTTGACCCTTATTTCTTTACTGAACCTTTTTAAAGAACAACTGCTTTGTTTATTCTTCTTTTCAATACTGGCCAACTCCCTAGTTTCCATGATGCCTTCAGCTTAACATCTGAATCCTCATTTCCTCTGAAACAATGCCTAAATATATGCATTTGCTCACATTCATTTATTGTGTTGAAACTTGGATTAAATGTTTCTTGGGATAGGGAACCGTTTGCTTATATTATTCACTAAAGAAACTGATGTATCTTTGAAATAGCAGAAGGTTTATTGGGCAACACTGTATGTTGATTTCTAGCTACTGTGCTATGGTCATCATTAATTTTAGACTAGCTTTACATTCGTAGATTGACCTGTGAAATTATACATTGCCATGGTTTTTATGCAGGCAAGAGATGCATGACCAAAGGTCAGAGGTGTTGGTCGAGAGACATCCAGACATTTGAGGTCTGTCTCAGAGATGAATTTCAGACATTAATAACTTAATCAGTATACTGTTTCCTATCTGTAAAATATTATGGGAATTTGTGCAGTCTAATATTGGATGAAATTTGCTGAAGTTGGCATAACTTAAAGTGATGCCTCCAGAACATGGCAGAATCTGCATTGTGTAGAAGTCCTTTGTGACTATCACTAACACTTCAGTGCAACTTTCCCTACCACTTGCATAACTTTATGTTATGTATGCACGCAGGATTTCAGTCAGTATCTCATTGGTTGAAATACTAATGCACAGCTTGCACATCAGTGATAATGTCTCCAAATGCAGAAAATTGCTTGGATTAAAGGCTTCCTTTGATGGTTTTGGAGTGCATGAAATTTGTACATAATGTGATGAAATCACACGCACCCTGAAATTGCCAAAGGAAGCCTTTAATCAGTGGTGAGTAGCTCCTGCTGTTGACTTCATTTCAGTTGTGCATATACTGTAGAGCTGTGCAGTAGGATTTCAGTCATTATAACTAAGTCCCATTGAGTTCAATGAGTCCTGCTCCTGGTGAGTTGATATGGGACCATCCATTGCAGAGTATTTATGCTACATGAGTGTCAGTGGCCCAAAGCCAACATTGGTCATGCTTAGAGTAGAACCATTATATCAGTCATGCTTAGAGAAGACCCTGACACATCTTAGGTTAGTTATAAGGAATATGTCTACTTTATTTCAGTTGATCTAATCAACTAAGCAGATTTTGCGTAGTGTGTTTTGTCCCATAAATAAAGAGATGTTTATCAGAGAGATTATTTTCATTGCAGAAACAGTGGAAAAATTGACTGCTCCATGGTCCCAATACAAATCACCCTTCTCTCCATCTTTTGTTACTCCCATTGCCCTTCCTAAAACAACATACCCATGGAATTAACCTTGTTATATCCAGTTTTATCTTTAACCTCTAAACTTTATATCTTCAAAGTAACATTCAGGATATAATTGCTAAGTTCTCAGATATAGTAGATCATAGGCTATTAATAGTTCATGTATTATGTATTTTAGTACTTTGAATTTTGCATTGAAAGATTACTTTAAAATAAAATTACAATATCTGTCAAGTGAAATTGCCACTGTGCACAAATCCGCAAATCAGTTATGCCTCATCATGGTCAGATCTTGTTTAGTCAGACTTTCTGTCTTGTTTGAAACTGTTACAGATTTTCCTGTATTGGAATGTCTTATGAATAAATATCTTTGTTTGCACCATCTGTCTACCAGAAGCTGTGGAGAGCTCTTTTGTTGAAATGAATGTAGACATCACCGGCAGCAAAAACTTCAGACCACACCTGACGTTTCTGAAGCTGTCTAAAATACCTGCATTGAGAAGGAAGGTAATTAAACAGATTAAAATCTTCTCTTGTGTGCTTTCTTCTCACGTGCTTTGGAAAACAGTTGTTATGCTACATACACATTGTTATTTTTTAAAGAAAATTTAAGGGAGAAATGTAACTGAGCAGATTAAAACTCTCTCATTGTGATTCAGTTTGGAGCAATGCATCTGATACCTAGGCTGTGGGGTTCTCATGTGTGACCTATCGAGATTCCATCTACTGTGCTGCAAACTAAGAGCATGTCCAAACTGGCATATAGCTCACTATTTGGACTGTTTTTGGTGCTGCTGTTTTGAATTTAATTACAGCATCCATATGTGTTTTGACTTAGAGCAATTCATCCTACCCCTTTTTAGAACTTTTTGGTATGGTACCAGGGCTACACTTTTTTGGTGTGATCCAGTGCACTCCTAATTGTGCCATTCTGTAGCCCATGTGAATGCTTAATCCACAGCAAAATAGATCTATGGGCAACGTTATCTGAAATGACAACCTTGTGACATATTGGTGACTAGTGTCATTGAAAGGACTAATAAAGAACCCCCTTTATTTCCATTTACACTAGCATTTTGATTTTAAAAAAGAATTTCCTAGTTGATACAATAGGTAAAGGTAAAGCTTCCCCTTGACGTTTAGTCCAGTCGTGTCTGAATCTAGGGCGCGGTGCTCATCCCCATCTCCAAGCTGTAGAGCCAGCGTTTGTAGAGAGTTGCCGTGGTCATGTGGCTAGCGCGACTAGACATGGAATGCCATTACCTTCCCACCGTGGTGGTACCTATTTATCTACTCACATTTTTACATGCTTTCAAACTGCTAGGTTGGCAGGAGCTAGGACAAGCGACTGGAGCTCACTCCATCACGTGGATTTGATCTTACGACTGCAGGTCTTCCAACCTCGCAACACAAAGTCTTCTGCGGTTTAACCCGCAGCACCATCACGTCCCTTCTAATTGTCCAATGTGTCACAGTGACAGATCATCTCCTCCCTTAGATAATTGGACAATTATCTAATTGTCCAATGTGTCCTTATATAGAATAGTCTTGCAATTGATGCAATACTATTCTAAATAAGGACACATTGGCAGTATGTGTATTATGCTAGGTAGATGTATTGCTGTTTCACTGTGTCCCTTATTTTTATTTAAGAACAACAAAAAATGGAAGTTGCCGTTGCCCGCTGAATGATGGCCACAGGAAAAGGCAAGGAAGGGGTGCAGGAGGAAGAGGGTCATTAATCGAAAGGGAGGGGGACAAATTAGAGCAATCCAAAGATCTCTCTGGACCCTTCTCTTGGAAGAAAAAAAAAATCAATATCACTATCAATAGAAGGATCACTCAAGTGAGAGATAAAATGGATCACATCAAGGATAAGAACCTTTTAAGCATGAACAGGACTTCTCCAAATTTCCACTTCTGAGTGTGCTCTGACAGAGGAGCCATTCATGGACTGAATAGAGTTGAAAAAAGGACAGCCATATTGGACAGAGAATGGTTGAAACCCTGTAAGTTACACCATGAAAGGCTGATAACTGCAGCAATATTCTGAAAATAAAATATTATTTAAGCTCCTCACCTCACAAGGTACCAAGGGATCTCTTTCATTGATGGGAAGCCAATTGGTACAATGGGATAGAGAGGGAAGCTTTAATTTCTGCACTACAGAATTATGGCAGTTTGATACTACTTACTGTCATGACTCCAGTGAGTGGAATCCTAGAATCTGTAGTTGAGAGCCACAGAATTCTTTGCTATGATGAAAGCAGTTGCAGATTTCTCATGCAGTATGATCCCACAGCTATAAATACTCAACCGTCCCACACATTACACCAGAACACAGACAGAGTTCTAACTCCTATCCTCTGAAGATGCCGGCCATAGAGACTGGCGAAACGTTAGGAAGAAAAACCTCCAGAACATGGCCAAACAGCCCTGAAAAAAATTGGTTCAGATCTTACCTATGGGACATGGAGGTAATTTATTGGTTCAAATCTTACCTATGGGACATGGAGGTAATTTTTCTCTGTGTTAGCATACCCAGTCTTCCTCACAAATCCCACACTGTTTACCAGCGATGTCTGCAAGGGATCTGTCTCAGTAAATAAATGAACACAGTTTGAAAGCCACCAAGTCTCTTTTACTGCCTCAGTTCTCATTGAAATAGTGATACACACTTTCCACCACATGTGTTGAATTGCTTTTTGAGCACTGCTTAGCTGACTGCAAGATTTATGTATGTTTGCAGTCAAGGCTGCCGGGACATTGCAATATAAATATATGATATGCTGATCTAACCTTTAAAGGCAGAAGGATATAGGATTTAGTGGGGTTTTATCACTTTGCAATTAAAGTAAAAACACGCCTCTGATTAGATTCCATTTTCCCTGTAGTATGCTGTTCTGCTTGCTTCCTGGAATAGCTGTGCATTTTTATGAGGTCACTATAATAAGCAAGAGAAAACAATAATGGCACACTCTCAGGGCACTAGGGGAGTGCTTTCATAGTGGAAGTATGTTTTCTCTGACCTTGCACTTCAGTTCAATGTGCATTTTTTAAGATTTTGAGTGTCTTTTCCTTGGCATTTTGAATAAAGTCAAGGCTAGAAAATACCAAGTGCCATGTACAGAGATGCATATTTATTGTGAGACAGAGAGGGTGGCAACATTTCTATTGTCTAGGGGGCAATACCTGAATGATTTATTGTTTTGATGTCAACATAAAATAAAGGTTATAAAAGTAAATAATATTTCAGTTTGGTCACAGAAGTGAAATGTGCTCAATAGCAAAGTTAATTGATGGTAAGAGAATAAGTGCACACTAGAGGAAGCATTACCTCATTATAGAGAATGAGTATGCAGAAAACTACTTTGTCATAACATATTGTTCTGTAGAGCTAAAGTAAAAACATGGTTCTAATTAGAACCTCTGAAACAGTGGTTCCCAAATCTTTTGATATTGAGCCCGATTTTGATGTTCAAGAAACCCTCACACCCCACGCTGCCCCTTTTAGCAAAGTATTCAATTAACAATTTAACATTAAAAATAAACATGAAACATATTGAAATATATATATTGGTTAAAGTTAAGCACCCACTTTTTTTCTTATCCCAAAATAAAGTTTTAAAATGTATCTGTCACAGCAATTTGCTGTGATGGCAAGCAGATGTAAAACTCAGTATATATCTAGGATCCCAGCTCCCTTTCAAAAACCATCTGAGGGCAGAGGTGCATCTTCTTGCTACATAATTTTTATGCTGCTATTAAATGGGAAGGAGCTTTCTTTGATCTCATTTTTTGCGATGGTCCATGGCTTGGTCTTGCTCCCACACTTTTCATGTGGCATTTTCCGGGAGGTTCCTCTAGGGCAGTGATTCCTGACCTTGAGTAATCCAGGTGTTCTTGGACTGCAGTTCCCAGAAGCCCTGGCCAGCACAGCTGGTAGTGATGCTTCTGGAAATTGCAGTCCAAGAACACCTGGGTAACACAGTCTAATTCTCTAGGGCAGTGGTCCCCAACCTTGGGCCTCCAGATGTTCTTGGACTTCAACTCCCAGAAATCCTGGCCAGCAGAGGTGGTGGTGAAGGCTTCTGGGAGCTGTCGTTCAAGAACATCTGGAGGCCTACTGGAGGAAAAGCTGAATGAACCTCAACACACCTCTTATATTGCCTAAGGAGCAGGTTGGATTACAAATATATCTGATTTGATATGTGGAAAGCCTTTTGAGACTCTGGAACATTGCACTGAGGTAGAACTGTACAAATATTGAGGTGGGATAGGCTGAGATTTTTCCTAGCTTTGATTTGATATGTGGAATGCTGTTTGGGACTCTGGAACATCGTATTCAGGTTGGAACTGTACAAATATTGAGGTCTGAAAGCCTGTGATCATTGTTAGCTTGGCTTTTCTCTTTGGATTGCGTGGGATTCTGGTAATAGAGGTCAAGAGACATAATAACTCTGCTAGGCTTCTTGAGAAGAAGGAACATTTTTACCATGGTTGTATTTTAAACTGTTGGGCTAAAATATCATAATTTACATATCATTTATGAGATTTGTGTGGCAAGGTAAAAAACAAGCCTGTGATCGTTGTTAGCTTGGCTTTTCTCTTTGGATTGCGTGGGATTCTGGTAATAGAGGTCAAGAGACATAATAACTCTGCTAGGCTTCTTGAGAAGAAGGAACATTTTTACCATGGTTGTATTTTAAACTGTTGGGCTAAAATATCATAATTTACGTATCATTTATGAGATTTGTGTGGTAAGGTAAAAAACCAAGAATTAAAATCAAAACAATGCAAGATGCCAAACAAAGAGCAGGTTTTGGTCTCCCAGATTGGGTATTGTATTATAGAGCCTGTGTATTAGTCTGGATAAAAGAATGGATAACTTTAGATATAACTTGGGAATCCCAAGCCGGAATTAAGATTGCCGGAAGAAATATCAACAATCTCAGATATGCAGATGATACCACTCTGATGGCAGAAAGTGAGGAGGAATTAAAGAACCTAGTAATGAGGGTGAAAGAGGAGAGTGCAAAAAACGGCCTGAAACTCAACATCAAAAAAACTTAGATAATGGCCACTGGTCCTATTACCTCCTGGCAAATAGAAGGGGAAGATATGGAGGCAGTGACAGATTCTACTTTCTTGGGCTCCATGATCACTGCAGATGGAGACAGCAGCCCCGAAATTAAAAGACGCCTGCTTCTGGGGAGGAAAGTGATGACAAACCTTGACAGCATCTTAAAAAGCAGAGACATCATCTTGCCAACAAAAGTCCGAATAGACAAAGCTATGGTTTTTCCTGTAGTGATGTATGGATGTGAGAGCTGGACCATAAAGAAAGCAGACCGCCAAAGAATTGATGCCTTTGAATTGTGGTGCTGGAGGAGGCTCTTGAGAGTCCCCTGGACTGCAAGGAGAACAAACCTATCAATTCTAAAGGAAATCAACCCTGAGTGCTCATTGGAAGGACAGATCCTGAAGCTGAGGCTCCAGTACTTTG